GTTTCGAGATAAAAAATTTTCATTATTCCATTATGAAAAAATTTTCATTATTCCATTATGAAAAAATTTTCATTATTCCATTATGAAAAAATTTTCATTATTCCATTATGAAAATTTTCTTTTTTAATAGTATTTTATGTTGTTTGGCCACGGCCAGACCCCAAAGACACTGGATTAAAGAGGAACAACCTGCAATATGAAACATTTCTATTTTCTGACATGTTATGTTGTCAGGCAACGTCTAGATTCCAATGTTGCCGGAATAAAGAGATTCAACCTACATTATGAAATATTTCTGTTTTCCGACATTTTGTTAGATAGTTGTGATTAAGCTCAGGGGGTTCTGTTTACAAAATGCAACGTACAAGTGAAGAAAATAGTTCACCAGCTGAAACGTACTAATCATTGCAACAAAATGAATGAACTAATTTGAAAAAATAATGAAATGACAGGATTTTATCTCAGTACTTCAGGTGATACTAGGAAGATCGAAAACAGATGATTTGAAATGTCAAATGATTCATTGATTAAAAATAATACCAGTAGTTCAGATAACACAGGAAGACTAAAACTACACTAGTCAAAATGTATTGATCGAAACAAAACTGATGAGTGTCCTTCTCAGAATAATTAACAATAGCGCAATCTGTTGATTTCAATCAATATGTTTTTCTTAATTCCTTATGAAAAGATTTGTGATTTTCTCGAGTAGAATTTTCTGCATAATAATTCTACTTGATTTTCATAGCAAAACTACTTCTATTTATCTAACGCTCTATATCACATACGCTAGCCGTTCATTTCTCTCTACCTATCTATTTCTATCAGTTAATTTCTATTTACCTATCTATTTACCTAACAATCTAGCCGAGCTAGCTAGATAAGCAAACAAATAGGAAAAGATTGAGCTATCAATATAACTCTGTTCATATATTAAGAAATGGACAAGGTCCGACAATTTATTTATTAAAGACATTTTTTATGTTTAACGTTATTTATAGATACAAGTATTTAAGCAAATGCTCTGTTTATGATAAACAGTATTAAATAACATTTACTGGCCTGAATGTCCGAGAAATTTTCATAGAAAATATTCGTTCTTTGACAGGATTCGAACTGCTCTGGGCCACAAATACATATATCATAAACAGAGCATTTGCTTAAATACTTGTATCTATAAATAACAACGTTAAACATAAAAAATGTCTTTAATAAATAAATTGTCGGACCTTGTCCATTTCTTAATATATGACGTCATTTGTTTACATTTGATACGCCAGAGCAGTTATGAATGTACGAGATTCATGGAAGATTGAAGTTTATAAGCAGTAAATTCGACCTTGTCTACCGAAAGGTTCTTTGTGGCCCAGAGGTAAGGCACGTCAGCGTAAATGACGGTTCCGTATAGGATGCAGGTTCGAATCCTGTCAAAGAACGAATATTTTCTATGAAAATTTCTCGGACATTCAGGCCGGTAAATGTTATTTAATACTGTTTATCATAAACAGAGCATTTGATTAAATACTTGTATCTATAAATAACAACGTTAAACATAAAAAATGTCTTTAATAAATAAACTCTGTTCATGCCGATTTCCCTATCTCTATCATTTTTTTCATATCGATTTGCCTGTCTATATAAGTCTGTTTATATCTATTTGCCTATCTATATCGCTCTGTTCACATCTATCTAAATATCTCACTCTCTCTCTATATAAATATATATGTATATATATAACTCTCTACATATCTATCTACATATTTCTCTATCCCACACACTACATATCTATATCACTTTCTACATATCTATCTCACTACACATCTATCTCACAACATATCTATCTCACTACATATCTATATCTTACTACATGTCTATCTCACTCTCTATCTATCTATCTACATGTCTATCTATTGACTCTACATGTCTATCAATCTATCTAAATCTCTACATATCTATCAATCTATCTCCCTCAGCGTATCTATCTCAGTCTCCACATATTTATCTCACTCTCTACATATTTATCTCAATCTTTACATATTTATCCTTCTATCTCACTACATAAATGTCTATCTCACTCTCTACATATCTATGTAACTCTCTACATATCTATCTATTTCACTCTATACATATCTATCTATTTCACTCTATACATATCTATCTATTTCACTCTATACATATCTATCTCAAACTCCAAGATTAAAATTTTCCATTCTTAAACATCTGACTTTTAGAAATCTTGGTATATCAGTCGAGTGAACATATAAGTCAAGCACTAAAATTCTGAGGTATTAATTCAGTTTTAACTCGATAATTACCAGATAATTCGACTCCACAAAAGGCAGATTATAACAAAATTTTGTCAGATTATCATCGATTAGCGATTTTAAATAGACTGGCATGGCCCATTAGCTCATGAACGGATATCGTCTGGGTGGATCAGGGCCTGTGCAATCTCTTACCTAAAAAAAAATCCACAGACGCAAAAGGCATCCCCTGAAGAGACCATCATCATCCTTTGGAACGGATAGCTAGGATATATCCTTAAAAGTACATTTATGCTTATTTTATGTCTAAGAAGATATATATTCGCTTATGACACTATCCCAACAATTCTAATTATACTTTGATTAAGTATTAGAGGCCAAAATACTATTCACTAAACATTATAAAAACAGCATCAAACCAGCTGACAGTCAAACAGTACACTGGGATTACCTACAGATGATTTATGTTTTAAAAAGCTATTTTATATGATGGCATATTATGGTAAACGGTCAGATATACATTAGAATATAGTCCTTTACATTAACAATAACCTGTTGATAGCAGTAGACAAAAGATAGAAAAAAAATTTGAAACAATTTACTTTCATTGTTTTAAATTTAAATTTATTATTGCTTTTGCCATTTTTACACGTTATTAAAATAATAATAATAATAATAAAATTAATAATAATAATAATAATAATAATAATAATAATTAATAATAATAATAACATGAAAACAAGAAAGAAAAAATATTCAATAATAAAGAAAAATATTTACATTTAGTAGATTTACTAGTAAAAAAACAGAAGCCAAGAACCAACTATTGCAGCAAAAGATATGAAAAAGAAAGCCAAGGATAAAGCCCTTGAACAGATGAAACAACGCTGGCAAGACAAACCTCTAAAATAAGAATGCAAATAAAATAATGTTGATGTTAATAATGGTTACGAGCATCTGGATTAAGTCTGAAATAAGGCTTTATTCTTGCAGCGCAAGACCATAGTCTTTTTCACTAATTTTAATATCATACATAATAATGTGGATCCAAAATGCAGGTTTTTACCAGAAACAATAGACCATCTAATTCAGGATGTTCTATACTTGCCCCAAATGAATATAAAAATCGTCACGATTTGGGGCAATTTACACTGGACAATGTGCAAACACTTTGGAAAATAAGCAAACACTGGTATGAACATCGGCCAGCGCCGGTTACAGAAATAGAAATGTCACCAATGGGATTTACCATAGACAGAAAAATTAAGAAATAGGCCGGACATTATTGTCAAAAACCAGAAAGATGGTAAACGTCCAGCGGTTGTAACATTGCAACCAAGGATTTGAAAACTACAAAAATGTGTACTTGGCTTACCTGGAAATTGAAATAGAAAAAATGTGGAAATTGAAAACAAGAATAATACCAGTGGTAATAGGTGCACTTGAATTATAAAAAATGGAACAAAACAACCATTGAAAGAATAATAAACATACAGAAAATTGTCTTATTTACAGCACACACACTAAGGAGAACTTTGTCTATGTAACGCTAACTTCATCGAAAAAAAAAAAAAAAAAAAAAAATTAACATGAAATGTGGCCATAACAACACACCACGACCTGAGGTCTTTGCAGAAGTGTGTCCTAAAAAATCGAATGATGATGATGATGACAATAATAATAATAATAATAAACGAATCATTTTTAACTTATTTTAAAGTTCCTTTCCTTTTTAATTTACGGTATAAAATTATAAAGAAGATTTAAAGTAGAAAAGGATATGTGTACTTGGCTTATCTCTTGTCCCAGAATAATAAACATGTTTCTGTTTTATGGTATTAAAGAGCAATAATGAACATTGAAATTTCTAAAAATACAGACGGATGAAAATTTACAAAAATATAGAGATAATTCTATAGATTCACATTTAAAGGAACATAGATATATATATCCAAAATTAAAACAAACAGAATTTAAGGTAGATAGATATATAGATAGATAAAAAAAAGATAGACGAATTACGAAACTGCCAAGCTGCTGGATCATGTCTTTTAAACTCTGTTTGAATGGCCTCTCTCTTATTTGGGTTGATATCAAGACCAAGGCGAGAATAAGCCTGATGCAATGAGGTCAGGGGCTGTTGTAGTGAGAGTGCCTCATGAGAAACTATAGTAGCATCGTCGGCATATTGCAGTTCATAGACAGGAATGGTAGAGGTCAGTCTTAGCTTAGGGATATCAGGCATTGAAGACGCTTTTGTCAAAGCGATATCGGATACGTATTGCGCCGTTGGGTTCCATATGTAACCGAGAGAGAAGAGTCACAGCAACCAGGTAGATGTTAAAAGCACGGGAGCAAGAATATAGCCCTGGTTAACTCCTGTATGCACACTGAACTGTTCTGATAAGGATCCCTCGACGGATACTTTAGAGAGAATATCCTCGTGAAATTGGAGTACAAGACCCAAAAAGGTCAGCGGACACACAAAATTGCCAAGCAAAAGTGATAGAGCCTCCCGTTTGACTGTATCAAAGGCTTTATTTAAGTCAACGAAAGCAAAATTAATCTCTCTTTGCTGCTCCCTGCTTTTTACGAGTAGTAGACGATCGACGAATATCATGTCAAGTTTACTACGTTTAAACCTGAAGCTACAGTGACATTCCGGCAGAATTCGCTCAATTAGAAAGAAGAGAAGACGGCGCAGCATAATACGCGCGAGAATCTTCCTGGCCACATCTAGAAGGGAAATGCCTCTGCTGTTGCCGCAAATGGAACGATCACGTTTCTTCTTGTAATATTCGCATGTTTCCAGAGCTTAGGGATCATTCTGCTTGTCCAGCACAAGCCAAAAACAGAATGCAGATATGATGCAAGGTGTGGTGCACCATACTTGTACACCTCTTCCGGAATGCCATCATCACCAGGGGACTTCTTGTATCTTATGTATTTTATGACATTGTTAACTTCATTCGATGTTGAGTCCAGATCAGGGAGGCCAGGGAGAGTCAGAAGTTCGTCTAAAGCTGAAGAATCAATCGGCATGTCTTTGTTCAAAAGTTCCTTGAAATGCTCAGCGCATCGTGCTAGGATTTCTTCTTTTTCCATGAAAGGAACGAATAGGTGATATAGCATTGCGAGAAGTTCGAAGATACGATTAATGGAATCATAGAACTCATAGTTCGTTTTCTTCGGCATAACGTTGAATTTCTTCAGATTTGCGGAGTAACTAGTTGTTTTGAGTTTTCTGAAGCTTCCGTTGTGCCTCTACTCGTAGCCGGCGCCAGTTTTGAGCGTGAGTACGAGAGCGTGGATGTGCAAAATGACCGCCTTGTGTTTGATTCTTTGCCTTCAAAAGTGGCTGGATAACTTCCACGGATTCATCGAACCCACTTTGGTTCCTTCGTTGAGTCTTTCTAAGCTTAGTTTCAGCAGCTTACTGAATAGCTGTCGATTTCATGCTGATCAATAACATCGGTGCTGGGAGTGATTGACAGACATTGAGTTTGACTCGTTTTAATGGTTGTCCAAGACAAGCAACATTGGGTATAGAGTGGCTTTGGTTTTGCAGGTCGTAGACCGAAGCGAGAGATTCCTACGAGAGCGAATCATACGATCGGTCCAGCAGTCCGCTCCACGCATTGCGCAAGTTTGAAGGTCTATTAAGTAATCAAACAGGTGCCACGTCTGAGAAAGTGGATGCATCCAAGAACATGTTTATTACAAACAGGGCATTTACTTAAATATTTGTGTCTATATAACTAACGTATAACAATAAAATATATTAAAACAATTGTTAGACTTAATACATTTCATAATATATATATATATATATATATATATATATATATATATATATATATATATAACAATCTCAAGCATTGTAATCCGTAAGCAAATCAAGTGGCCTCCAGCGACTTGTCACAGCGAATGGCAACAGTTTGACGAGGACGTAAGCAGAATCATTCTTACTACATCTAAAGGAAACGCTGAAAGGCGATTACATGTCTTATCGACTATGATAGTCAGTCATGCCACAGAACGATTTGGCTTGAGCAAAGAGAGGAAAGGGAAACCCTACATCAAGAACCTTAGGGCCTGAGGAGAGAGTTAAGGGTACTCAAAAAAAAGGTACAAGCAGTCTAGTGAGGAAGAAGGATACTCACTATCAGAGCTGCGGGATGTTGTAAGATAAAGACTGAAATCTATTCGTAAAGCTGAGTGGCATCAGAGAAGGAAGGAAAGGACGAAGAAAAGATCATCGTTCTTCGCATATTCTTTTGGCTTTACGAGGAAACTGCTTGGGGATAAGTGTCAGTTAGAATGCTCTGCAGATGAGATTAACAACTATCTCCAGAACACATCGAGTGAGCCTGTAAGAGACAAGGATCTTGGGCATACAGAAGCTGTGATTAATCCAACCCATCCGACGGCTGGGTTGGATTAATTTTGAATTAGACGAACCAAGCTGGTATGAGGTTTAGAGAGGTAGTGAAAGCAGCTAGATCAGCCTCAGCTCCTGGTCTATAAACGCTGTCCGAGTCTTCTCCAGCTACTTTGGAAGGTACTAAAGGTAATATGGCGTAGAGGTAAAGTTGCAGACCAATTGAGGTTTGCAGAGGGTGTGTGGATCGCCGCATTGTGCCTGGACCTTGCCAACGCATACATGTCCATTCCACATAAATTATTACAAGTGGCCGTAAGGAGATATCATATACCTGAGAAGATCAGCCTATTAATCCTGGACTATTATAACAATTTTCAAATGAGAATTACTTCCAGGTTTATAGTTTCTCATTGGCACAGACTCGAAAGGGATATTATTACAGGCTGTACGATCTCAGCTACCCTATTTACCCTCGCTATAAATATGGTGTTCAAATCGGCCGAAATCGAATGTCGAGGCCCTATGATGAAGACAGGAGTGCGTCAGCCACCGATCAGAGCGTACATGGACGATCTGATCATTACAACTTCTTCGATCACGGGGAGTAGGTGGATCCTTCGTAGAATTGAAAAGCTTATTGCTTGGGGAACGAGAATGAGTTTTATGTCTGCAAAGTCGAGATCGTTAATTATAAAGAAGGGAAAAGTAGTAGATAATTTCAGGTTCTCGATATCAGGAACTACTATCCCAACGTTGACAGAGATCTGTGAAGAGCCTAGGTAAAATCTTTTAACAACTCCTTAACGGACACTTTTATCCATCCGATCTCCAAACTGGAATTATGGCTTGACAAGGTGGACAAGTCAAATCTTCCGGGCCGTTTCAAGGCATGAATTTACCAGCATGCGGTGCTCCCAAATTTCTCTGGCTTTTGTTTCTCTAAGATTTCTCAATGACATGAGTGGAAGCCATGGAAAGGAGAATTAACGGCTACCTTCACAGATGGCTGGGGCTGCCGAGAGGTCTGAGTAGTGCCGCACTATATGGCAAATCAAATGGACTCCCCTTTAAAGGATTGGTAGTCTCTCGAGCAAGATAATTCCTACAGTATAGGGACTCTAAGGACCCAAAAGTGGTGGCAGCGATGGAAGGAAATGGAGGGCAGAGGGTGAACTGGGTATTGCGGAGGAGCGTTTGTGGCAGAAGGCACTCATGGGGACAGTGACATCCGGTCATGCAGGCTTGGGCTTCTTTTCTGGTACCCGAATCGAGAATGCTAGAGGTAAACAGAGACGACAAATAATTCAAGAGGAAGTACGAGCCAGCGTTGAGGAAAAAAGAATATGCAAGATGTTGTGACTAAGCCAGCAGGGTGCATGGACACGATGGGAAAATTTTTTACGGCGGAAGATAAGTTGGTCGGATATCTGGCACTCCGACGCCAGTCGTATTAAATTTCTTGGGCAGTCCCTGTACGATGTGCTACCGAGTACTGAAAACTTGCATATTTGGGGAATGAGCGAGTCACCATCATGCCCACTCTGTACCAGGAAAGGTACGCTGAAACACATCCTAAGCGCCTGCCCGAAAGCACTTGGTGAAGGGAAGTACCGGTGGAGACATGATCAGGTACTTAGGAAATTAGCCGAAGTAGTGGCCGCAGCAATTAGCTTAAAACGAAGGCGATCTGTTTCGTCAAGGCCAGTGGAAACTCCTCCACGGTGCGTAAATCGTCAAACTGTGTGCTCTCCTCTGCTAGAGATTGGCATTTGGGGAACCAGTTGAATATCCCGGAGCAGATAACGACATCGTCCTTGCGCCCGGATTTAGTCATCTGGTCGACAGTTTCCTAGCAGGTCATAATGCTCGAACTTACGGTACGTTGGGAGGAGAATTTGGAAGAAGCCTTTGAAAGAAAGCTGGGAAAATACCAGGAGCTAGTTGAGAGATACAGAGCTAAGAAGTGGCGGACGACCTGTCTTCCGGTTAATGTCGGATGCTGTGGTTTTGCAGGAAGATCTATATGCATTGCTCTAACTCGTCTTGGAGTCAGGGGAATAAAAAAGAGAGAGGCCATCAGGGCTCTCTCAGAAGCTGGAGAAAAAAAACTCAAAATGGCTATGGATTAAAAGATCTCTTCCATGGAACACTACGACGGAGTTTGGTGGGCGTTGAGGTGCGGTTGGGAAGGAAGGAGGAAATGAGAAAGGAAAAAGGAAATGTAGAGGGATAACCAAAGTCGCTGTTTGGGGGGGGTCCTTCACCTTTTTCGGGAGGGGAGAGAGGAGGAGTGTAAAAGGAAAGAAATGTAAAGAAGAAATGGTGGTGGTGGGAAAAGAAAGCAAGAAACGTTTCTGATCATAATTCCTATGATCAACGAATGTGTTCAACATTTTTTTCTTTTTGTTAAGCAACGCTTCATATAAAAGAAAACTTTTCTTGCCATTACTTACCTGTTATGTCAAACTGTTCGTTGAGAATGTGGGTCTTTCCGCGTGGTGGACCAAGATGGAAAAAAAGACGAGCATGCTGTCTATACATCTATTTTTTGTATCGTCTTGGCTGAGGAGGAAGTGACGTTAGTCGTTAATGATTGGTCGCTTGTAATTTCAAGATCAGCAGTGGCCTTTACTTAATGTGTCCATTTCTTGAGTGCTTGGCGGATTTTTTGCTTCAGGATCGCCTGCCGAAATAGTACTGTTTAGGTAGATTCTTTTGTGCGAACAGGTATAATGTCATGGCCCAAGTCATAACATCACTGACGACGCAATCCTGCGCACTCGTTGGAATGTTTTCATGACAAATGCATATACATATATATACACAATATATATATAAATATATATTTATACACACGCGTATATATATATATACAAACACATATATATTTATACACACACACACACATATATTCACACATATGCATTCTCACTCATACATACACCACCACAGATGCACACACACACACATATATATATATACGCACACACCTATATATACACATATATACATACACATACACACAAATATATATATACATACACACAAATATATATACATACACACAAATATATATACATATGTACATACATACACACGCAAACATATGTACATACATACACACACAAACATATATATATGTGTGTGTGTGCGTGTGTGTGTGTGTGTGTGTGTGTGTGTGTGTGTGTGTGTGTGTGTGTGTGTGTGTTTATATATCCTGAGCATGAATATCCCGTTCCTTTTTCCTGTGTCTTTAACAAGTCCGCTCTGTCCTTGTCCTATCTCTGGCCTGATTCTGCTGCGCGCTCTATTCATCAGAATACGGATGATGAGTTTTGTTATGTTGCTTATTAGTTTTGTTATGTGGCTCATGATTGTTCGTTGGAGTTCACATTCGTTTGCGCTTGGTTTCTTAGGCAGTGTCATGTAAACAGATCTGCTGAGATCTTCCGGTATAACCCACTGTTAGAGATTTCATTTATTATTTCTGTAATCTTGTCTATGCCAAAATCATCTATGGCTGTCAGCATCTCTTACAATTCCGTCTGACCCTGCCACCTTGTTTCTGTTCAGTTTGGCTAGTGCAGTTTCTTCTTAGGTTTATAGAATTCCAGGCACATCGGTAAGTGTATTGCTCGTCGTGGAAGAGTTCTCCAATATATTCGTTCCAGCACTGAAGAATTTTTTCCTTCTTTAAAATGAGCATTCCATCCTTGGATTTTATGCAGCCTGTTGACGGGCATGTGTTCTGTCGTGTTATTTCCCTTATTTGTTTATGCATATCTACTTGGTCTGTGGTACTCAATCTCCC